TCTCCATCCTCACCACCACAACCTTCACCACCATTAGCACCACTTCTATAGCCATCAGTCCCTGTCTGTTCCAGCCGTTGGGACTTCCTGCTGACGGGGCCCATACTGAAATGTTTGGCTCATCTGGGCCTCAGGCACCAGGTGGGATGTGTAGACACCTGTCTCCCCATGGGGTGTGGCTCAGAGCACAGCATCAGAGTGGACATTCTCCTTGGTTCCGAAAGGCTGCCCTACTTTTATGCCTGGCATCCTGGCCGGGACTGGCCTTGAGGAGGTGTTCCAGAGCTGCCCCCGAGCCCCAGGGCTGCCCTCACCACACAGGAAAGACCCAGAGAAACTGTGGAGTGATGTTACCATTTGGTTTTTCAGGGCCCCTTCGAACCGAAGCCCTCGCTGACACGAGCCCCTGCCATCGATCACGACCACGGCGTAGCCCAGGGACGCCAGTGTGTTGAGCCGCAAATACTTGATTCCTTTGAAGGAGTTATTCACCAGCTGTACCTGTGATGGGAGAGCAAGGAGGGGACGTGGAGCTTTAGGACGAGTGGCAAGGAATCCAGTGTGAGACACCAGGCAGGAGGGGCTGGATGGGCCAGGGGCCAGAGGGATGGGGCCGGGGGTCTTACAGCCTCATCAAAGCTCCTGCACTTTACTGTGGAGGCTGCAGATGGCTCTGGAAGGGTTCTAGCCACGGGGGAATAGAAGGTCAGGCAGAGGCCCACTCTGCACCAGGCTTGTGCTTAGGATGGGCTCCCTCCTCAGCCGGGGCCTCTGCCGCGGCCCTACCCTGGAATCACTCCCTGATTTTTTCAGCCACATTCTGCCCCCTTTCTACCTGCAGTTTTCTCTAAAAACAGACAAAAACTGGTGGTGTTCTCAGAGTAACTTGACTTAACCCAGTTCCTCACTTTTGGCGCTACTGATGTTTGGAGCTTTGTCAGTCTCTGCCATGGGAGGGCCATGTCAGGTACTGCAGGGCGTTGACTGTCCCAGGCCCCCACCATAGCTGTGATGATTACAAATGTCCCTGGACATCACCAAGTGTTCCCTGGGGGACAGAATAACCCCAGGTGAGAAACTGCCATCTTAGATGGACCCCAATGCCCATCTGCCTGCCTGGACCTGTCTTGTCCCCTTCTCAGAGAACTGGGCCCAGGGCCCATGGCCACCTCTATCCCCAAGTAGGTGACCAGGGGTGACAGTGGGTCACTGCTGGGCAAGTGGGCCAGACAGACACCTGGGGGCTAGGGGGGTTTCCCAGAGGGACAAGGGAGCATCAGCAGGTGAAAGGGGCAGGGAGTTGTATGAGAGGGTGGGGTGTACAGAGACCCAGAGGCAGGGGAGCAAGGGCCCCCAAGAACCCTGTGTGGTCAGTGGGGCTGCGGCCCCCTTGCATGAACCCTCCTTCTGGCCTAGCTGGCACCCAAGTCCTGCTGTGAAGGAAGGGGGTGTAGGGAGCAGGGCTGACACGCACCTGGGGGCCTCCATACACAAAGAGGACAGTGGGGTGCTTCTTCCCTGGCTGCACAGCGTGGGGCTTGTAGATCATGCCGTAGAGCCGCACGTCCGACTGCGTGTGGAAATGGAAGATTTCCGGGGGCACGTAATCCGGGGGGCAGCCTGCAGAGACAGAGCGGCTGTGGCTTTTTGGGCCGGAGGGCGCCAGGGAAGCACATCTGGCTGAATGAAGCCCAGGAGCCACTGCCTGGCCCTCGGCTGTGGAGGGAGGATGGGAGGCACCCTGTCTTCTGTGCTTCCTGATGGTTTGAATCAGAATCCAAGGGCCACAAAGGACCCTTGGTCCCATGAGTGTGCACGCGGCAGGCTGCGGTCCCCCACAGCCCCCCGACACTTGCTGATCTGATCTCCTATGGGGGTGGCCACGCCTCTGCTATCATCTGCCTCTGATTTTCACCTTTGCCAAGCACCACTGGTTTTCCAATCATGACAGTGAGGCAAACATCTTTCTTTAGGATTACCTTGAAAGTTTATTTAGATAAATAGAGAAAGTCAATTTAAAAAGGAAATAAGTCAATTGTCACACAGGTTCTGTAAAGGGTCAGACGGTGGGTACTTCTGTCTCTGCGTCTTAACTACACGGCTTGGCTGTCTCGGCCCCAGTGTGGCCGTGGACAGTCCCTAAGTGACCGGGAGTGGCCGGGCTTGGTGCATAGGCCGTGTTTGCCCACTTCTCATGGAGGTGGGCTACAAACATGGCAAGACTGGGAATTTCCGGACGTGGTGCCTCAGTCCACCTGCCGGCACCAGGACCCAGGACTTCCCACTGCTGTCCCCCTTGCTGTGCTGGGTGTCTTGGTAGGACCCACCCTTCCCTCGGTTTCATCTGTAACACGGGCCCAGGGTTCCTGCTCTATCAGGTCCTGCAGTGATGTGGGGAGAGTCACAGACTGAGTGAGCTACTGGCTGGAGACTTCTACTGGGTCCCAAAGGGTGACGATGTAACAAGATGCTTTCCAGCCCACAGACACCCCACAAACGCCAGGCATTCTTATTTCCTAGAATGTTCTGGAAATCTAGCAAGTGGCAAATCTGGGGTCAGGGAAGGGCATCCTTTTTAGTCTGTGATTGCCGTGGGCTAGGCGCTGTCCAGAGTGTTCAGCTTTCATCCTATGGACTGCCTGCCGTGAGACCGTTTCATAGAGAAGGACACATTTGAGGGAGACTGACTGACTTGCCTATGGTTCTGCAGCCAGCAATGAATCTGGGGCCACCTGAGCAGAGTTCCGGCCACCCTTCAGGCTCTTGGGCAAACTGGAAAGTTGCCTCTGTTCCCCGAGGCTACGCTCCTGCCTGACGCCCCAGCTCCTTCCACAAACAAAGGTATCGGGATGTGTGCCCTGCGCAGATGCCCCTGGAGACAGCCACCCAAGGATGAGAACGCCCCACGTGGCGACGTCCCATGTCTGGCAGCTGGTCGCTCTGTGCCGTGCTGTCCCTAACCACAGAGCAGAAGTTAGAGACAGGCCCAGGGGGCAGGGCCCACAGGACAGGTGAGGCCACTGGTAATGCCCAGTGATGAGCTCTTGGGGCCCCCGGGCCACTTGCTGCTTCGAAGCTGCCAGAACAGCCCCCTCTCGCCAGTGTTATTTAACAGGGCCGCATCTCATTCTACAGACAGGCAAGCCGAGGCTGCCGGGGATGGCAGGGGAGACTTGGTCAGGTCCCCAGGGATGTGGGGCTACTCACTGGCTGCCTCCATCATGCTGGCCCAGAAGTGGGGCTGCTTGTGCAGAGGGTCATCGTCGGGGCCGCTCAGCTTATAGACGTGCACGCAGGGCGGGGTGCTCACGCTGCTGTAGTGGCTGATGAACATGTCGAAGTTCTGTAGGCAGGACGGGGTGCTGAGCACTGCATGACGCGTGTCCTTCCCGACCTCCCAGTCCACTTTGGCTCCCTCTGCCCCGTCACAACCCACTTACTGTCTCTGCCCTGTGTGCTCGCTTGTTTAAACTTTAAAACTCTTCCACTCCCATGAGGTGGGTGCTATTACCATCACCCCCATTTCACAGATAAGCAAACTGAGGCCAAGAGGAATCTGTCCCCTGGCCAGGGACCCCCGACCCCCGACACTTCCCTGGTGGTAACTGACCGACCCAGGGTCATACCTAGATCCTTCTGATGCCAGAGCCTGCTCACGTTGCTGGTTCTACAGCCTGCGGACTGCTACCAAATGCTTGCCCTGGACTGGAAGTAGCCCTGGGCACGTTCACTGCCTGACATTCTAGATCATTCTGACAGGCTAAGGCTGGGTGCCTTAATGGTGCCAGGCACATCTAGGGAGTGCCCACCTGGCTCATGGAGCAGCTGTGGGAGAAGCCGGGTGTGGTAAGGCGCACGATCTCGCCCGCCGACTCATAGCTGACCACATAGAGGTGGTGCTCCAGGGGCGTGTCCTTTGTACCTTGGAAGTACACCAGCTTCGTCTCCTCGTTGACCCAGATCTGTGGGGGCACAGGGTCTCCTCGTGAAGCAGCCCCAGGCCAGGCCTTGGACTTCCCGCGCCTCTGCTCCCACAGTGGCTGAGGGAGGGGGCTGATGCGTAGCGGAGAGACCCAGGCCCTTCTCCCTGCCCCCACAGGGAGGGCCCAGAGTTCTGTGCCCGGGACGTCTGTTCTCTCCCTAGTTGGCTTTAGCCCACCGGCTGGAAAAGAGCTAGCTGGGCGAGAAGCGCCTCGCAGACCTGGCGCGGCAGGAGGGGACAGCAATCTGAGCTCACCGCATGTCCTCTGGTAGGACTTGAAATCGGAACGCCAACCCCAGACAGCCCCTTCTGGGCATGCCCAGAGCTGCGAGTGCAGAGCAGAGGGCACAGTGCCCAGGACAGAGGCTGAGGGAGGGGCTGGCCTGTGCCCGAGGGCCCATCAGCCCCCAGTCCTGGTCCCCAAGGGGTCAGCCCACCCCTCTGACCCAGGTGCTCAAGGCTAAGATGCTTCTTAGCCTTGCTTCCTGGGTGAAGCCCCATCAGACCCCAGTGTGATGTTTAGCGATGAGGCCTCGGGAAGAACAGGAAGGAACCCTGCTCTGGGGACTGGAAGAGCCACTCACTGCCTTTCTGGGGCCGACCTGGGAACATGGAGGTAAAACACGTAAAGAAGGAGTGTTCTCTGATGCAGCATTATGCTCCAGGGAACTGTTCCTGAGGGCTTCGCTCGAGCGGTGACTTTAAGTGGAAGGACAAACACGCTGTGTTCTTAATATTAAAAAAAAGGCGGACTTGAATGTCCAAAAAGACAAACTGGTTTCAAAATTATGGCACACTTCTCTGCAGCCACATAAAACCATACTTTCTAAAAAAAAAAACCCAACCCCTTCAAATCCCCTAAAACGATGTCCTATGGAGGGGCGCCCGGCGGGCTCAGTTGGAGGAGCATGCAACTCCTGATCTTGAGGTCATGGGTTTGAGCTCCATGCTGGGTGCAGAGATGACTTAAATAAATCTTTGAAGAACAAAACAAAAACCCCCAATGTCCTGTGGAGATGTGTGCATACAAAAATGCTCTGCCGGGATTTTCGCTGCGGTCAGCCACCTCCGAGGGGATGAGGCTTCGGGAGCCTGGGCGGGGTGAGGAGTGAGGGGATCCCTAACGTAGGGTTACTTAGAACAGTTCAGTTTGTACAACAAACACTGATGTATCCTTTGCTGCCGTCCTTTTAAAATAAATGCAGGTTTTCTAGAAACAGAGAATGTCGCTGGGAAACCCCCACCACACGCAGTCACTTGCCAGTTTTGTCACCAGGACCACGTGAGAAGGTGCACACACTGAAGGAGGTGCTCCCGGGGCACCTGGACCCCCCGAGGCCCCTAAATAGTGCAGGCGGCTCAGAGCTGCGCCCTGCCAGCACGCACGGCCTCCGGAGGGGACGTGAGAAGCCAGTCTTTCCCTTTGTAACCTTTAACATGCTGTTGTGTTGTCAACGAGACTTCAGTTAAGAGTAAAAATAAAAAGGGGCGCCTGGGTGGCTCAGTCGTTAAGCGTCTGCCTTCGGCTCAGGTCATGATCCCAGGGTCCTGGGATCGAGCCCCGCATCGGGCT